ATAAACATGCTGAAAAGCAATTTATCGGTTAAACCAGCTGAGCCGTTGCCCGGATCAGAACCAATTCCTGTACTGCTTTCTTCCGTTGTCCCTAACGACATAATTTCTTCTCCTCACTCCGCCCCTGTCACGCATGCCGAGAATACTATCGAGGAACAAGTATCAAGTATACACGATCTGTCCTTCGTTGCACCCTATAATACCGAGGAAATCCATAATAATTCTGCATATTCTATGTCGTCTTAAGTCTCCATTTCGCATTCGGAACCCTATACTACCGAGGTGGTCGTCAGATCGTACAGTCCAGGCTTATACGGGTCGCAGATCGCCGGACCTTCAAACATTATGGCTCCACTTGTCAGAAGCATCCCCGCAAATATTTTATATCTACAGTAGGGTCGAAGGAACCGGACTACGGTGGAGAGTGTTTTGTGGCTACGCGGATGTTAATCTGTAGGTGTGGGTTACCTCCTCCACATTCGATCAGAACGGTTGCAACCAACATTCCATCATGGACAATTCTTTTTCCTCTCGACCTGCTCTTCATCTGTCTCCTTCTGTTCGAATAAGTGGTGCTTCTACATCAGATACTCAACCACAATCTGAACATCTTCTTACCCCGGTGGCGATTGTAAGATTACATGTTGAATCAATTTTCTCGAACCTCCATAAAATAAAATCACGATACCCTCTACAACAGTGGCTGCGAACGATCAACAACACCGATCTCAATGCCTGGGGAGACGTTATAGAGGCAATGCTCTTGCTGATATTCCCACTAGAAGAGAGGGCTAAAAAACGTTAAACACGCCCCGGGTAAGTCGCCTTTAAGAACTTCTTTCAATAGAACTCAAAAGCGCATGGTGGAGTACAAAAGGGTTCAGGACATCTATAGGACGGGGAACCTTTGGACGTTCCAGATGTCTATCCTGAGATGTCGGCAGTCGATGAGCACCCCTATCATACGAAATCTTCCAGCATCTGGGTAGAATTTTCTCCTAGAACGCCCGGAATGGATGGCCTCGCTCGGCTCCGGGTCGGGACGGGGTAACCATGACCACGATCCCACGTTGCAGCAAGTACTCTTTAATCTCATTCTAGTCAGGAGGTACCAACCCATTGAATGGAAGGAGATGAAGACGATATTAATTCCTAAGCCGAGGAAAAACAGGAAAAACACTCGAAATGGCGTCCAATGTCAGTCGGTTCCACGGTGCTACGCCTCCTACACCGCCTCTTGGCCAACGGACTTTCAACCGCGGTGTGTCTTGATAATAATCAAAGGGGCTTTGTTAAGACGGACGGGACATTTGCAAACTCTCTCATTTTGGACTGATCAATGATAGGACGCAAGCACGGAAGGATGTCAGTCTTATATAGATGGACTTGCGGAGGGCCTTTGATTCGGTATCTCAACACTCCATAATCAGGGGCCATCGACGCGTCCAGGCACCTTCTTACATTATAGACTACGTCGAGGTGACACTTACCACGTCGTCCACGATTTTTTATCTTGGTCAAGAAGAGTCCACGTCTATCTGTATTAACACATGTTCCGTATCGGCCTTTGCGGATGACATCGTTCTTCTTGCCGAACACGTGAAGGACCTCCAGAGTTCAATAGATGGGGCTGTTAACTTCTTTACTTATAGGGCAATGAACCCTGCGAAATACTACGCCCTGATTAAGAGTAAAATCAATGGTATAAGTCATACCACTCACCAAATCCTCAGTGAACATCCAAGGGCGTCAAGTCACCGATATTAATCCCGTCCGTTATATGGGATACGACTTCAGAACTCATGGACAAATTAAGCCCTGCCTGTTGAATTATCCGATATGGCTACAGAGGCCGGTTGCTTTTTCCCTAAAACCAGACCATAAGTTCCTGTTGCCCAAGTCTTTCCTGCTCCCGCAGATCTTTCATTCTTTGATGGGGATCAGGGTGACGAAGGAAGTCTTGGTTAGCCTAGACAAAATCAACAGGCAATAAGTAAAGAAGATATTACATCTCCATCTTCATATCTCAAACGAACTCATCCACGCTACCTTAAGCGAGGGCGGTTTAAGAGTATGTGAGTTAGCGGTTTCTAACTCCAATATTCTTCTTCGCAGGATGTCCGGGTTAAAGAGTCGAACAGCTGATGATCCAGTGGTTGCGGCTATGTTAACATCCCAGCGGGTCTCGGCCTTCCGGTCGCGTCTACAGAAGATGGTGTCGCACTTTCCTGCAGGAGGTCAGAAAGAGCTTATGGAGAAAGGAGTCTTCTTTAAAGCTCTCACCTGCGCCAGCCAGGACTCAGCGTCTAGATCGTGGATCAGCACGAAACTCGCCAAATGGAGTGCGACTGAATACGATACATATTATGCGTATATAAAAGTAACATAATAAATCAATCAAATTAAAGAAAGGTAGAATGAGGGATGGAATAAGCGATGACCCAAGCTCATGTCCATTGTTCTGTGTTTTTGTACGTGAAGTTCCGCGGAAGGGAGAATATGTAAATATATGTTCCTTCCACGTGGAGAAGTATACCAGTTTCACTGTTTCAGTTGTCGTCTTTTGAAGTTGGGTGGGTCGAAGTTGCTCGTATATGAAGAAATTTTTCATCGTTTCCCGTGTTATTAGTGTTCCAACGAAGTTTGGGTAAAAAAGTACTAGTATCGTTCCATGATGTAATAAAACAGTTTTAGGTAGACAAAATATCAACTTTCGAATACTGTAAAGCATTCGGAACAAGCTGGAGATCTTCATAGAAAAACCTGCACAACTGTAAACTATGTGCATTCTTTACAACTTCGGTTTTTCTAATGATCAACCACGTGAGGCGACACCGTTCATCCCTGGGAAAGTTTACTTGCGGAAAAGCCGAAATTGAAGTGTATTATTCAATTTCACGGCCTTAAAAGAGACCCTGGAGAAGATCTACCTAGTGACGACTTCTGCATACAAAACTACGTTTGCGAAAAATGTGATTTCCAAACAAATCTCATATTGAAGTAGCTTCAACATACTACAGCATGCACAGGAAGAAAAGAAAATCTCGAAAGTGCGAGTCTGTCGAAAGAGAGGGTCACAGTAAGTTATCCATATGAAACTAGATCGAAAAGACCTTTAGGAATCCACATAAATCGAATCCATTTGGATGACGAAGATGGTGAACAGTAGAAGTGCGAAAAGTACCACATAAACTTCGTCCACTTGAACGAAAAAAAACGCCAAATGGTACGAATGTGGAAATTGTTTATACGAAACAAAACGTTCGTCGAATTTAAAACGTCATGTACGTTGCATACATCTGAATGCACGGAGTGTCCGTTCAGAACTAAATATAATTCATCTTTAATGAAGCATATAAAAAAAACAGGACGCTATAAATGTGCGAAATGTTCATACAAAGGCAAAACACAACAAAATTTGAAACGACATTTGAAGGTCGATTTGGAGATCAGATCGTACGCGTGCGATTATTGTGCATACAAGGCGACACGCAATGCGTATTTAAAGGGTGACATAAAATCGTCGTTTAAGATTTTAATTTGCTTTATGTTTTGTAACTACTTTTTCAATAAAGCTCTGATAAAGAAATATGTAAATGTTATATGAACTTTTTTTAACTGTGGTGGGGTACTTTTGTTTTCCATTGAAGTACCCGTCGGTTTGACATTTGTGTTGTCAGTATGCAGCAGGGGTACAGTTAACTTGGTAACGTGGTTCAAGATCTTACAACCCATTTGGTATTTTATGTGATGACAGTTTCTTGGTAGATGAAACATTGAGTCACAGTTTTGGCATCTGATGCCTGTTACAACTGTATAAGCGCAAAAAGAGACATTTAAGAATACAATTTACTTTATGTTTTGTAACTACTTATTCAATAAACGGTAAAAATATTCTGCTCAGAGTAATATTTTTTCTACAACTTACCTTTACCGATACATTATACAATTGCGCATTTGAAAATATAAATATCATGTAACAATTTTTTTCTTACAGTAACTAATTTTAATGATGTTTTTATTTAGAAACGAAGGTCCTGCCCACCATAGGGCTCAGCAGCAACTCATGAGGGTATGCTACCCCTAGATCCAATGTCCGCAGGGTTCTGACCAAATGGTACATGGGACCACGATGCGGAGGGCAGATGCCCCTGAATAAACGAGACACGATTGGAGACGAATGCCTCCCAGTGGTGCGGAGGCGATTTAACGCAAATTAGAGCTACCTGTGAGTCTGTCCATACACAAATGCGACTGAACAGAAGTTTGTCTTTGTAAATATGACAAACAAAATTAAGGAGACGAGTTAACAAAACTGGGGCAGACAGCTCCAATCTCGGAATAGTAATCTTCTTGAGCGAATAGACTACAACAGCGTAGCCCTTTTCTGAGCTATCAGCTAAACCATGAAGTTCACACGGTTGAAAATTATCGCAAAAAACGCGCGTAAAATATCTAGAAGGGGCTAATCGTTCCAAGCTAACTTAAGGGTCCAAATTCGTTGATTCAATGCTTGATGAAGAGTGTAAGCGGGATTAAGATACCCAACGGATCGAAATATATGAAAACATGAGAGGCGGGGAGATCCGAGATTAGAGAAGGATCGTTGGAGGCCCATTCGCGTAGCTCAAAACCTCCGCGCTGGAGGAGAGCAATAAGTTCCGCTTTCAACTTTAAAGTCTCTTGATTTGAGTTACTACCGGTGACAATATCGTCCATGTAAATGTCTGTCTGCAGAGCGGCAGCGGCTAAGGGGAATAATGAGCCATCTTGCTTGCTCAATTTCAACAAGGTACGAATGGGGAAGTAAGGAGCAGAAAATGTCCCATGTCCCCCCCCTGGACAAAGCCCTTTGAAGACTTTTTGAAAAATTAGGTACTTTGTGATCCACAATCGAAAAGCACTGTAAGGATTTTACAGCTTCCGTTTTTTGGCAAAAACTTCTATTAAGGCAGGGGCCAATAAAATTCCCGTAGCAGGCGAGCCCCACTCTTAAATTGTTAAGGGGTTAGCTTCCGCTGATTTAGATTCCTGAGAATCGCCCGCGAGTTCCGAGTTAAAATGTAGCAGAGTATGATGCCTCTGACGCATTGACGACAACTATGAGAAGACTGACACGCGTTACTCAAATGACGATTGCCCAGGCAATTAAGGCATAAGCGCTTTAATTTAGCAATAGAGTAGCGTTCTCGGCGGGCTTTCGCAAGAAATTCCTGACATCGATAAATTAAATGATGCAAATTACAAATACGACATTTTAAAGAATCCGACTTAGCCAGTAATGAGGTGGTAAAGCGTGACTGTACCGTTACAGGTTTCTGAGAACCAAACTTTTTTATTTGGGGTTTAGCAGGAGACGCATTGCCTAAAGCGCTACGGTGTTGCTCTAAAAACTGGTAAAGTTTGTGATACGTAGGAATTTCTTTCGAATTGTGATAAAGTTCGAAGCGAGTTATCAAGGTCTCGTCGAATTTTTTAAGAATGAAATTGAATAAAATGTAGTCCGCAAGATCTATAGGGAACATAAAATTACATATAGCATTTAAATGTTTTGAGAATGTGTCTTATCAGACTTCGAATTTCCTGAGGATGGTCCGAATTAATTTTCACGGCATTATCAATCGCATTCCAATGGGCATGCAGTATTTGTCTATCATTTTTATAGCGATTATTGAGTTCAGAGTATGCGGTTAGATAAGTGTTCTCGGTAACCGGCAGATTTTCAATAAGGGCTCTAGCTTCGCCTTTCAATGACGAAACCAAATAATTAGGTTAGGTCAGTAGATTTATGAACTAAACATGTCCATGAACGGGGCAAATGTCGTGATATCTCCAGAAAAGTTCGGCAGCTGTACTGTGTGTAGCTTGATATTAGATTTAGGGGCGGGAGCAACCGAAAATGATTTCTTCGTTTCAGCGGACTTTTAAATTTTAAAATATATCGAGTCGAACAACTTTCGAATATCATCCTCTGCACTAAAAGCATCTGTGTCTATTAGACCAATGATCGTGTTGTGGTACTTATATTCAGAACTCAAGTGTTCAAGAGGTTATGTGCAGCCTTTTTTGCTAACGTATTCACTTCAACGACTCCATTGTAAGATGTTTGTGATGATGGTTATGAAGCAAAAAAAAAAGGCAAAATAAACCACTCCCCCATGGCCATGCGAAGAAAAACTAACAAAAAACACGTTAGACCCGTTGCAACCCTCGCTAATCCAGCTAACCGAAGGACTAAAAAAAAAACATGTAGCTTTATCAGTGCCAGAAAAATGGACTTACCCAGAAAAGGTTAGGTTGCCCGTGCTTCTGGGGCATGTGGCGGAATTTTTTTGTGGTCAACATATGAAGGCAAAACCGTTACCGTTGTCGGTTCGAATTCAATTGTGGTAGGGAAAGACTCGGGCGTCCAGTCTCTCCGACTAGTCTCCGACTATATGTTTATAGGCCGCAACACATTATACGGCGTTTAGCAAGAGTTGCGAGCGAAGCGTTTACATCGGTACTGATAAAAGAAAAATAAGAAAAAAAACGAAAAAACAAAACTTGTACCCAGAGACGGAACATATATTGTGGTGACCGAATTTAAATCAAAATTTTCAGCGGCGCGAAATCACATTTGAATAATTTGAATTTGAAAGAAAAAATTCAATTAAAAATCGTTAAACATAGGCAACCAAGCCCCAAGGTAGTTATGTATGTTTTAATTAGAGGGCGGCTTGGCAGAGACAGAGGGCGGCATGGCGGAGCGTCAGTCTGGATGTGTTTTTGTGATTGGAAACACGTGGTAAGAGCTAGTTTAAATTAGTTGGTTTGGTAGTTAATAAATGGGAGGAAGCGTTTGTTTAACGACAAACAATCGTAACTTCTAGGAAGACGCAGTTTTCCCCAACCCCCGCGGATAATTCTTGCGGATTTTCATCAAAATACATGCTATATTTCAATGAGGAACACGTGCTGTAAATTTGTTTTATTGTTTGTAAATTCACCAATCAAGTTAGTTTTCTTAATCGTCAGCTAGTGTTAATTCAATTTAACAATCAGGATTGTTTAAATAAACCACTTGCTAGAAGATTTCATGAAGTTCATTTAGTCAGAATAATAATACTTTGTTTAACAAACTACGAATAAGTTTCTGGATGCATATACGTAAGTGTTACATTATAACACTTCTTAATTCTTCACACAAGATCGCTAATAGTCATTTACGGCAGTTAAATCAACAAAATTAATACTGCGAACTGGCGGGGGGTTAAAATAATTTCTTCCCTTAGGCGGTTATCACCGTTATTATCGTCGTTATCATGATTACATCACTGAGGCTTGTCCTCGCAACACTACAGATTGATTACTTCATCGAGGCATCCCCTCGCAACGCTAGGGATTAATAACACCATCGAGGTTGTCACGGTGTGATTTCGGCACGAGTTGATTGTGGTATTTTTTGGCTATTTTAGCGCCTGGCTGTCGCAGCACGCCCTGAGATATTGTTGTGGAGGTTGACTATACTTCCCCCCTGTACGTTGACAGCCTCGTGTAGCAATTAGCGCGTACGCTGTGCCATAACGGAAATGCAGGAGGGGGAATATTTGAAAAGGGTATCGTTTTTCTAAAAGGATTTTGAGGTAGTATTTTCCCGCTTCCCACACCATCAGCAAAATTGCCCCACTTTCTCGCAAGGGAAAAATTCCACTTCCGTCTGGAATTCATTAGTTGCTTGGTGTTAGAGGTGGAGTGATGGTAGGAATGGTGTGTGAATTTTCGAGGGCATAGTATTGGTTTTCGCATAGTCGGATTAATCCCTGGAATTCACCACCCTATGAGTAGTCGGTGTCATACTGTTGGAAGACCACCGTACTATATCGGCAGAGCCGGATTTAGGGCGTTTCTACTTATTCTCCCGCACCACGAGGCCACCACCATCTAAGTAAGTCGTTTTTTTTTGGCCGAATAAACCCTAACGAGTGGGTCGTTCTCCCTTGCAGGGCCTCTTTTAAGATCCTCTTAAGCAGCTCTTATGCTGTTCTTAACCCGTTTTCATGCTGCTTTTATGCTGATCTTGGACTGAACTGCGCTTTCTACATCCCGTTCATCGGAACGTGCAGCTCTACTTCATTTCCAGGAACAGGTTGAGCGAAGGAATTCTTCTCCACAACGGCCATTCTGTGGAGTTGCCTTTGACGAAGGTTACCCAGATCATAAGGTCAGGCATGCAGTTTTCCTTCTCACGTGTTTAACGAAATAGGTTTTTGTGCGTCGCTTATCGCGGTACGATCTCGGCTTATCGTTTCGTCGTGTTTTTCTTGTTTTAACCACTTTAATGTTTTTATTCTTATTTTAACTTGTATTAAATCTTATTTAACTCGTATTAGATCTCAATTCCACTCATATTAAATCTTAGGTCATTCATATTAAATCTTAATGTAATTTGTATTAAATCTGTATTACTTGCAATTAATTCGATTAATTAGCTATCACCATCATCTTAATTTAATTTATTGCATGTTTTTGTTACTTATAGATAATTGTTAGCGTAATATGATTGTCACTAAGTTTAGTTACTTTTAAGAGCCTCGTTTGATCAAACGTCTTATTTGTAGGCATTAATTCTAACTTAATCTTATGTAGAGTGTGCTCACTAGAGCTAGGAATAACGCTAGTTAAATTTATTGCTCAACTTATTATAGTAACCATTTTATTTTTAATATACACTCATATTAGTACAGTATAGTTTTTGTGGTTACGCGAGTGCACCCCCAAAGCCTCACAGATCACAGGTGTGTAATCAGGTAAGTCGTAGGCCGACTTACGGGTGTTTTGGATCCGGACACCCGGTATTCTGTAATAAGGATCCTGGCGCCCAGAATTTATTTTTTTTGTTTGATTGCGTATGGGTGTGCTGACCATTAAGGACGGCAGCACTGGGTCGAGTTTTTTTTTAATACGTCCCACGGCCCCTGAGCTGCAATAGCCGGAATCTATTTTGCCAACAGTCGGCCCTTGCCCAATCAGTCTGCATAGTGGAAAAGTATCGTGGCAAAATTTGGCGCCCAACGTGGGGCAGGCCACAATCATCATAGGTGTTCTGTGAGGAAGTGTTTGCTTTGGGGACACGACCAGCCCGAACCGGTAGCCCCAAACTCCACTTATGCTAGAACGCCCCAGGGGTACTTTTTTTGTGCTTCTGTTAACTGCCGTAACTTTACATTTGACGCCACACGAACGTAATGACTTGTGTATTTGCATCCAGTTACTTTAATTTAGATTTTGCTTTGTTTCCATTAAATTTGTGATCTTTAAATATTCGCATTGATTCAAAACATAAACGTAGGGTTTTGTACTTGTTTGGATTTCATATGTGGATGTCTGTTAATTCGCGGTTGTCTTTGCTCTCATATTTTTAAGGTGTTTCATTTGAAATGTAATATGTCGTGAATATACGATAGGGGGTTTTTGGGGCTTAGGAGTGAATCTTCGCAGCTTCTTTCCTCCCGAGAGGGGTGCCATTTTAGCCCCTCCCAAAAATGTTGTCTATTATTTCTTGCGCTCTCGACTCACACACAGTGTATGCTCACTTGTATGGAAGAACGTCTTCCCGCCACTTAAAAAAAACACACAACGTAGGTTTCCATTTTGTTAGAGGATCACAGCCCAGGCCAAATTTTGAATTTTTCGCGGGCTTTTCAAACTTTTTCGAGATCAATTTAACGCGGGAAGTTTGGGTTATCACAATATTTTGTGCAGATTTCGAATGTTGTTGAATATGCTTCATCCGAATCTGAGAATGAAAAAGCAACAAGTCAACCAGGGCCTCCGAAACGTTTAAAAAAACTGACAAACGTTGGGAGTTTGATGGGGAATTTCAGCACAAAACGCTGCCTGAAGAAGCAATAAAAATTTAAGAAACCTAATAATATAAAAATGATCTTGTTGGTGATGACGTAAATATCTACCATAGATGCAACAAAGTGAAAAGTAGGGGAGAAAAGTGCCAATCTGATATTTACTTGTATATTCCCGCAAATAATACGAATGTTTTATTGTATCGTTCAAGCTTCCGCCATAGCTGTGATAAAATACTTCCCACTGCCCGACCCAAACTAGATGAAAATGTTAAGAGAAGATTGGGGGACTTTTTAATTAATTTTAAACACATTTAAAATGATGGCCGAAAAAATTTTACAGTGGACAACTTGGAACATATTACAATCATAAATTGTTTTAAAGAAAACTGAAATACGTGTGTAAAATATAAAGTTAGGATTATTGTAATAAAATTTTATCCAAAGTTCTAACAAGTATTCTTTGATTTGTAATATGATTATGTTTTTAATGCTTTTTTGCTTAAAATAAAACTTTTTTAATGAAAGTGTTTTGCTTATTTAATGCTTTTTTGATTAAAATAAAACCTTTTTATTGAAAATGTTGTGCTTATTTAAGCGCTTATTCTTAATTTTGTTGTGTTTTGTTAATGTTGTGCTTATAAATCCGCTCTCTACTAATAAGACTATGGACAGAGCGTTAT